GAGGACATCGCTCAGCTTCTCGGTCTGTCAAGCACAGCAAGCCCACTCTTCTGTTTAACCAGCGGGGGTTTCTAGCTCTGCAAACCTTCGCCAGGCTCTAGAGCTCCAGAGCCTAACTGTCTGGCTTGCTCTTAGTTCCTCCGGGGCCACCCCTCTGTCCTGGGCTCTGTGTGGACCCAGGCTGTGGGCTGCATGGAGGTGGTGTCTGTGACCCTCCAGTCGTCCCCTGTCTGTGCTGACAGAGGTGGCCCATTCCCATCACATCTGGGCATCAGCTGTGCAGGGAATGGCTGTGTGCTCCATCTTCCTGCTGGTCTGCCCGCTGCCGTGCCACTCTGGGGCTCGCGGGGAGCCTGCTCCGCCACACCCTGATGCAGAGCTCTCCCTGAGGCTGTGCTGGGCCTGGAGTGGGGGCTCTAGTCCACCCTGTCCTCAATTTCTCTGAGCTGTGTGGGGTTCCATCCTCCTGCCCCACTGTCCCAGGGCACGTGGCTGGGGGGTGAGGGCAGGGCTGCCCTCCCTCTGTCGAGCACCGTGTGGGTGTGGGCTTGGAGCGTGGCAGGGGCTGCCTCTCATCGCAGGTCCCTACCGTAGCCTGGAGATGGGAAACTCTTGGATTCGGCTCTTCCGCTCTTTGAATTGCTCTGTCACCTCTCCCCGATCAGGAGCTCCTAACACTCACCCCCTCGGGGGCTGGATCTGGGAAGTGTTGTGGGCGGCAGCAAGTCTGGCGAAACCCACAGTAGCTCCTGTCTCAGGAACATCTACCCGCTCCGCACCCGCTCTGCTGTGGTCAGAGGGATAGAAGCGGGCGAGAGAGTCTGAACACCGGGCCAAGGCACCGGCCCGCTCCTGCCAGGGTGGGGAGCCCTGGAGGGCTCTGGCTGCTGTGGGCTTGGGTGGGTGTCGGGAAAAGTGCGCGCATGATTCCATCCCGGGAGAGGCGGTGCAGACCCGAATCTGGGCAGCGGCGGTCAGCTGGGTGACTGCGTGCAGAATAGCCAGGTGGTGGGGGCCCCAGCCTGGGTGAATCGGAGCCTTCCCCACCCCCGCTGCAGCACAGCACCTGGCATGTGTGCGTGCTCAGCACGTGAGGGAGGCCGCTGCTCCCTGGTGTCAGTGCCTGTGCCAGGTGCCTTCACGGCGCAGGTGTCATCTCAGGAGACGGCCCCACCTGCCATGTCCCGGCACAGAGCCCTGGGCGAGCTTCTTCACTGCTCCAGCCTGTCACATGGTAAGATGATCCCAGCCTCCCGGGCTGCTGGGAAGCTGAAAGGGAAGAGGTGAGCAGACACAATGGTTTGGAGAGTTCTGGGAGGATGGCCGCTGTGAGGGCAGCACAGGTTAAGTACCCCTGAGTCCCTGCATAAGAAAGAACGAGTAGCAAAACCAGGAACAGCATTTATGACACAACTCGGCTAGAGGCACCCCATGAACCCCAAATACAAGGAGGTGGGGCTAAATCTAGGCTTTCAGGTTCTACCCAGGAAAGGGGCTCACGTCCCACTGATCCCAGTATCCCAAGTTACCCACCCACCTTTGTGGGCCTCGGCCTTCAGGGTGAGTAGGCCAGGCCGGGCCTCCCCAGGGAGTTTCAGACCTGCATGTCAGGTACCTACATCTGTGGGAGGCACCAAGTCACCCTGGGACAACGGAGGGACCCGAGACAGGAGAGCCCCAGGTGGCCACAGGGGTGCCCTGGCAGGATGGGCAGCCACCGACGGCCGCCTGGACTCACCCACTGGGAGGCGGTGTGTGCAGCGGCTGCAGGGAGGTGTCAGGGCTGAGTCCCCGCAGATCCTCCAAACCACCAGGACAGGGCCCACAGTGGGAGGAGGGTGGGAGTAAAGTCAGAGTGGAGCAGGATACTGGTGACAGAGACAAGAAAGAGCAGGGCCGGGTAAAGGTGGGGGAGGGGGCCAGGGCCTGTAAATCGTAAAGTGAGCCGCCTGCACTGGAGCAGGAGCAGGGGACCAGCCCCACGGGGTGTCCCAGGCCCTCCGGCCCACTTCACCTGATGGCCTGCTGTTGACCCAAAGCCCTACTGATAACATTATTGATCAACACATACTTTGCATGTTGTATGTATTATATATCGTGTTCTTACAATAACATAAGCTAGAGAAAAGGGGTTTTCAAATTGTTGCAAATCTTCAAAAAATTTCCAATGCATTTATAATAAAAGTCCACTTTATGTGTCGCCAAGCGGTTCAAACCCATGTTATTCAAGTGTCAGCTGTGGAAAACAAAACCCAGTGAAGTTATGTCTGTAGAGGTTTGGGTCGCAGTCCTGTAAGGTCACGTAGGGCCCTTCTGTCCTGCAGCACGTCGGGTGGCTCCAGGGGGACGGAGGGCGGTGAGGGGGCCGCTCCCTGACAGTCACGGCACTGAACTTGGGTTTGGTGTTTCTCTGCAGATGGGTTTTCATGTTACAGTACAAAGGTGACCAAGTAAAGGAATGACACGGGTAGATGCTCTTCCCCTTGGGAGAGGGTCGCTGCTCTAACAACTTCCAAGAACATTGGAAGACCTGATTGAAGGTCCATAGGAATAAATAATGACCGACAGCAGAGCAGGGGTGGCTTCCTGGAGGAGGTGGGATTGAAACAGGCTCTGCAGGGTGGATGGGCTTTGGTTTAGACCAGGTCTTCTCCCCCTCGACATGAAGAGAATTCTCTGTGGTGGGGGCCGCCCGCAAACTGCAGGATGTCCAACAGCACCCTGGTCTGTATCCATCAGAGGCCAGTGGCGCTGCTCCCCCAGTGGCATAACTCTGGCTTCAGGAACCTTGAGAAGGTCAGAAATGAACCGACAGCCAGGACTTCTGGAGGGCCGCCTCTCCTTCCCTTAGATCCACAGCCAGGAAAGGTGGGGTGTAGGGGGTGCTGCAGGCCCAGGCCCCACAGGAGTCTGTTTCCTGCCTGACCCTGGGCCCTCCTGCAGGCTGCCAGAGCCCAGGCTGGGGCCCATCTCCTGTGAGACCCATGGCCCTGGCTGTGGCCAGAGTCCGGATGCAGGAGGGTCACCCAGTGTCAGAGTGCATGACCCCATCCTTGCCAGCTGGAGGGGAACCTGGCGGTGGAGGGAAGCGTCCTGCCTGCAGCCACACAGAGGCCAGCCAGAACCGGTGCTCCTGACCCCCACCCCACAGAACCCGTGTATGACAGCAGGGAGCACAGCCTCTGTGCTGGAGGGCACTGAGCTCAGGCCCCTCATTTACTGGAGGGGAAACTGAGACGGGGGGGAAGCACCTGCTGGTTACCCCCAGAACTGACTCCTGTGCAAAATGGGACTCTGAATCATTATTAGGCACCTACTGTGTCCTAAGAAGTTTCTTCTGTTAGCCATTGTTGAACATCTCCAGCTGCTTAGCCCTGGGCTCAGACCAGTCTCTACACCACTTCACTGAATTCTGTTGAGCCCCATGTGGAGGTTCCTTGAAAGGGCAGCAGACCAGAGGGGAGGGTGACAGCACCCTGGACAGACTGCAGACCAGAGGTGGGCATGAAGTAGGTGGGAAGGTGACAGACAGCCAAGGCCCTTGCTGAGGTCATTGACGGTTTTAGGAGAGATGCACAAGACCAGACCAGGGAGAACTGTTTCCTCGGGGGCCCCCATCCAAGGGCAGCCATGGCAGGAAGGGCACGGGAAGGTCACTCTGGTTCCCCACCCCAGTTCCACTTGGGTTAGCCTAAGATTTCATTTGAAACAAAGAATTCTATTGTTTAAAAAACTTCTCAAACCACAAATCTACATTATCTATGATTAAGGACCAAAAGGCATGCTTGTTAGAGCAAACAACTCCCTCGGGCCATCTGGCACATGAGGACACCTGGGGCAGGCGGGCAGAGGGAACCAGTATAATGGCTGGTGGCTGACCACCTGGGGCTGCACGCAAACCACCCAGAGCCAGCCACCGTGCTGCTATGCTCAGGGATTCTCATCTCTGCTGCATTACATCCGCAGTCTTGGCTGGGGCCTTGGCTGGGGCAACTCCAAAGACGGGGGATGGTTCAGACAGCTGAGGCTGTGACTGGAGGCCTTCTCCTCCCGGGCCTGCACCCGGGTTGGGGTGCCTTGAAGACGGCTCCGCTAGGACTGCTGGTTGGAGGCCCTCATGTGGGACTCCCTGTGGAGCCTGGGCTTCCTCACAACATGGCAGCCACATTCCACAGGGAGCACCCCAAGGGGAGCATCGAGAGCAGCGTGCCAGTGGCGTCCTGGCAGTTGCAGCCATGCAGCGTGACCTGTGCTGTGCAGCGGTCAGCGTGCTCACCAAGCAGCTGGATCCCAGGGGAGGGGATACAGGCCCCTGCTGCCAACAGGAGGGGTGCCAAAGATTCTGCAGTCATTTTTGCAAAACCACACGTTGACATTTATTGAACACCTGCTCTGTGCTAGACATTGCGTAACGCATGTCCCGCCTAATCCCAGGTCATGCTCACTGAAAGCACTGGAAGTGGTTTCTGAAAATGGTCCCATCTTGCAGAAGAGGGAACCATAGCACAGAGAGGTTAAGGATGGTCTAGAGCAAGGCTGGTAAAGAGAAGAGGCCATGTCCTGACCCACGTCACTCCCTTAGCTGAAAACCACCTATTTCTGCCCACTGCACTTAGAATAAAAGCAGCTCCGCTGCCCTGACCGGTAAGGCCTTGCATCATCTGGCCCTGCGGTCACTGGGCATAACTTGTCCCATTCCTTCTGCCCATCACAGTCTCCAGCCACACTGGACATGACAAGCGGCCCCTCAGGGTCTTTGCCCTGCAGATGCCCCCCACCTTCTCATCCTCTTGGGTCACCTTGGGTGTCCCTCCCTTGGTCACTCCCCACTGCTTCCCAGCCCTTGGCACGAACCAGATGACTTCCCTGACGTATTTGTTTGATTGTTGGCCTCTGCCGGCTGGGATGTGGGGTCCAGAAGAGAGGACACAGCGCCTTTCTCCCTCCTGGCAGTCCTTCAGCACCTCGCCCGGGGCCTGGTGCATAGTAGGTGCTCAGTGAATACAGGTGAGTGAGTGAGTGTGTGAGCATCTGACTCAGCGCCCAGCTGCTCTGCCACTGGGCGATTCTGCGCTTCTGCCCTGAGGGCCTCCATTCACTGCATGCCTACTGTGTACAGACCAGGGCGGAAGATTTATGTGTATTTGTTACTGGATTCAACTAGAACATGTATGGTTCTAGAGCTAGAGGGGCCTCCGGGCTCATGCTGTTGTTTCACTCTGGTCCAAGCCGCTGCAGCCCGTTCGCTCGCCAGATGGAGAGACCACGGCTGTGATTTACCTGAGGCTGGGGCGCTGATGAGCGGTGGCTCCAGGATCAACCCAGGGCCACCGGGGCCATGTGACTCGCTCTTCCTGATGGGACGTGCAGCTCCTGAGAGGCAAGTGACGTGCCCAGGCTCACTCGGCTTGTACGTGCAGAGATGGGGCTGCAATCTGTCCCCTCTCCGCTTCCCCAAAGCCCCTCGAGGCCTCCTGTCTGCAGGCCCTCCAGCCTTGGCTCCTTCCACTGCACGGAGGGCCCCCACCCCCACTGTGGGATGTGTTGACTGATGGGATCGGACCTCAAGGAGCAGCCCCCAAAGGCGGCCAGGTCTGCTTTAGAGGGAAAAGAAACCCTCTGAAAGGCCCGTGGGCCCCACACAAGCGTTTCCTGTCCCCGGGAAGCTAACCAGGGGCTGTGTCTGCGCCCTTCCGGAGCGGTAGCTGAGCACGGTGCTCCCAGGGGACGGGAGGGGCACCGGCCGCAGGCTCTGCACAAAGCAAGGAAGCGTGATGTCACCAGAGGGCGGCTGCAGAGGGACACTTCCTCTTCCGCAGGCTCCTGCCCATCCAGAGGGCTCTCAAACTACGGGAAAGTTTCCCTGCCAGCCTGGGTAGGGGCTTGGTTAGCTCTTCTGCGGTTTCCCACTTTCTGGGGAGGAGAAGGCGAAAAACAAAGCAGGTGGGAAGTCCTAGAGCAGATGGTGCTAGAATCCCAGAGGTGAGAACTGGGAGGGCTTTTGATGGCCGACACCAGCTCCACCCTACCCGACCCCACTTCGTGGGTGAGAAAACCAAGCCTCACATGGTTTAACTGAGTCCTGAGCAGACGATCTGTAACCACGAAGAACAGACAAGCCCTCAACACTGTGGCTTTGGGTGGGGTCAGAAGGTTCTACTCACCCCCAAACTGTTTTCCCGCTGCTCTGTTGCAGAGGCCTGCATCTCCACCCCTGAACGTTTGCTCCTTGGGGCATCTGGGCTGGAGCAGGAAAGAAACTGAAGTTAGCAGAGCTTCAGTTCTCCTTGGCCATCTACTGCGGCAGGGTATTTGCCCTCTCTAACCTCAGTATCCTCCCCATCAAATGTGATAACGGCACCCACCTCCCAGAGCACAGTGAGGAATACTGAGACAGTAGATTTACAAACCCAGGTTAGAGACGGGCTCCTAGTAGTTACTCACTACTATTTTCTATAACATAGAGATAAGGATTGTACCTTTTGCAGCCATCAGGAGTAGATTAGGCAACATATGACAGAAAACCTCAAATAACAGCAGCTTAAGCAAGATACAAATTTGTTTCTCTCTCACATTAGAAAGAGCTGGCACTATACAGTCCGGGGTTGGTGTGGAACTCCATAGTCACAGGTGCCCTCTATCTGTCTGCTCTGCCATCCTTATCACCTTATAATGCAAAATGGTTGCTAGAGACCCAGCCACTGCACCCCAGCTCTAGGAAACAGGAAGGAGGAAGAAGGAAGAGGGTAATGCCTATGAGCTTTCCTAGAAGCCTCACCCAGTGGCTCCTCACTGACCCTTATTTTCAAGGAGGGCTGAGGAATGTCTCTTTTTTGCTGGGCACATTGCCAGCGCAGTAATATAAAGGTTCTGTGAATAAGGGAGAAGGGGGAAATGGATATTAGGTAGGACACCAACAGTCTCCTACACTCTCTCCCCACAGAGTGGTTTTTTGATTACCTGTGATCATTAATCAAATATAAGGCACTGTTACCTGGGTATCAGAAAAAGTAAAATGAAAATAGGTTTTATAAAGTGACCTCTTTTTCACAAAGATGGTGCTGAAAGTGAAGAAGGAAGCCCCTGCCCCCAACCAAGGCTAAAGCCAAAGATGTGAAGGCCAAGAAGGCAGTGCTAAAAGGTGTCACGGCCACAAAGAGAAGGAAGATCTGTGTTACCCACCTCCAGCTGCCCAGAGATCCTTGGAAGGGAGCCCCAGGAGCAGCGAGCTTGAGCGCTGTGTCCTCATCATGCCTTCCCAGCCGCAGGGTTGGCCGTGACGGAGACAGGGCTCACGTGCTCTGTTTGGGGCCGAGGCTGCCAGCCGTAGGTCACCCAGGCTGGAAGGTGCCCCGTGACCTCACGTGGCGGAGGCTGGCACCCTGAGAGAGAGAGGAGGCGCATGTTCCATCAAAGGAGACGTGTGCCCCATCAAGGGAGGTGCGCATCCAACTGGCCCCAGACTGTGATGCTCTGGATGTTGCCGAAACGGGGATCGCCTGCACTGAGTCTAGACACATAAACCTTCACTGTAAGGAAAAGGCCCGACCTAAAGAGTTTGCAAGTGGCCCAGAAGAGTGGCGAGGCGAGGAGGTGACCTCTCCCAGCTTCCTGTCTGTTGGGACACCACCAGGCAGTGGTGGGAGCTACTGATGCCCACCCACATCCTGCCCACAGCCACGGTTCCCACCCCTGCCATCCCTCAAGCTTCCCCAGTGGAGGCCTTCTTCTTGCCAAAGGAGAGTCCTGACGCACAGTGGGTCAACAAATAAGGACAAAAGAGGCATACACGGCAGGGTCGTGAGGGGAGGGACTTTTGTGGAGTTGTTTTGAGGATTCAAGGAGACTCCTTCAGCTCCATCCTGAGAATTCTCACTGAGGGTCTATTGTGCTCCTGGTGCAGGGATGCTGGGGACACAGCCGAGAACAAGAGACCCAAATGACTGTCTTTTGGACCCTCTGGACAGGGAGACAGGTGGCAAATGCAGTCCAGGAGTAATGGGTGGAGAGTGTGACACAGCCAGGGAAGGACACCACAGCGGGCACGGTCACGGAGGATGAGGTGGCGAGGAGGTTGGGATTTTGGGTCGGGTGGTTCTGGAAAACATCCCTGAGCAGGTGACATTTGAGTAAAAGCAGAAGGAAGTGAGGGAGGGAAGCGTGCAGGAGTTAATGCATGGACAGCGTCTGGACAGAGACAACAGCATATGCAGACCCCGAGGCGGGCCGACGGGGCGCCAGGAGGCCAGGGTGGCTAGGGCGGGGAGAGAGTGCTGGGCAGCCAGGGAGGAGGTAGTGATGCCCTTCTGGTCTTGCGCACTGCGGTGGGACAGCAGCTGGGAGGCCTTGCCAGACTCAAGGTGTGGGGGAGCGCCAGGCTGCACTCACCGGCCTTCTGCTCTGCTCGTCCGCACCAAGGGCCTCTTCCTGTCTGCTAGCATGTGGCTGTCCAGGGGAAAACTGCTCCTAGGGGCCCCGGCCAACTCCCTGTGGCTACAGCGTCAGCTCAGGAGGGCAGTCGAGGTCAGGCCAAGGCCCCAGGCAGGGGGGTGCCAGGGTGGGCATGGAGGGCAGCCTGAGGGTGGTCACCAGTAGCCATGGACAAGAGGCTGGTAGGGGATCTCCCAGAAAGCTGGGACAACAGAGTTGCTCCAAGCTAAGGTGGTGGTGAGTGGTGGGGACCACGCTTTGGCAGCACAGGAGCCCCTGCAGCCGGGGGCTCACTGGAGCTCTTGGGAGGAGCCGACATGGGGGCTTGGCTCCCAGCTCCAGACCCACCGTGGGGCTCCTACAGGCCTGAGTTTTATAAGCAGGCCCAAGGGGAGTCCCAGCCCGAGGGCGTGGGAAGGCAATGGGGAGGCCTGGCCAGAGGTCCTCCAGCAAAGTAGGCATCTGGCACGCCTCGGCTGCTGCCGTCACTGCTGTAAGCTGCTGACCAGCTCTAGGCTTTCAGGTATTCATTCTTATCTCATCAAGTGTAGTTAGGATGAGGTAACAAAGCATGGAGATAATTCTGGAACTCAGCAAAGGGCACAACTGCCAATCTGCAGGTATCTCTGCAAATGCCAGCATTTAAAACAAGAGCTCTGCTAAGTTCTGCAAGTTGTGGGGAAGCTAAGTGCTGCCAGGCACGTCACTTATATGATTCTCTGGGTGTTTTTTTTTTTATGCAATTAGAAGCATCAATTGAGCATTTGTCAAATATATCAAGTATGGGTGAGCCGGGAAGTCTAAGCCAGAATATGGATGTAGAGAGGGCAGGCGCTTGGTTTCTAGAGAAGGTGGTGAAAATCAGGCTGAGAATGAAAGTGCTCTCAGGGAAGCTGACCCCCCTCTGCCCCCCCATTTCAGCACATCATTGGGTGGTGGCGAGTATGGCAAATAACAGAATAGCCTTTCTGACTAGTTGGGGATGGATGCCTCGTGGGGAGATCAGGACACGAGACACACTTGGTCTATTCAAGGAAAGGTTCTTTTACATAAATGAATTTTAGTCTAAAGAAAGACATCTCATTAAGGGAAAGAACAGAATTACAAGTTGACTTAACATTTTCATTTGCATTTCTTTAAAAAGGGTTTAACAAAAATAGGTTCAAAATGAGTGTGAGAAAACCCCCACAGGACTTACTAAACCATAGACGTCCTCTTCATGAATCTACCTCCAACTTCCGTGTCTGGGGTGGGGTGGACTTGGAACCATGACCCCAGAGGCTGCTGGGTGTGTGACCCACCCCAGTTCAGTGTTCCCCTTGGTCACCCCGGGAATGACCACCCCTGTTTGACTTATACAGAAACACAGTGGCACAAGACGGTCCCTCAGGCAGAGGAGGAGAAGCAGCTGCCACCAAGCCCCATGCTGGGGTGGCTCCACGCACCGTGCCTCTCTGCACCAGTCACCCCAAAACGACATGTCTCCGAGGACAGATGGACACCCACGCTTAGGAAGCACATGGAACAGCTTCCCAGCTCAGGTGTGAGGCCTGCCTCCTGGCTACCATGGAGCATGACCTGGAGCAGGGTCCCTGACCTCTACCGCAGTCCCAGAGGGCTGAGCTCCTAACTTGTCTCTGCAGCCCCAACACATGGGAGATGCTCATTAATGTCAGCGCAGGTGCACTTGTGAATTTGTCTCCTAGACTTCCCTTCCAAAGACCCATCAAAGATGGACTCGTGCTGTGCAAAAGAAAGCAAATGCAAGCCACAGATGTAATCTGAGCAGGCACGTTAAAAGAGTGAAAAGAAATGGGTGAAACTAATTTTAGCAATACACTTAACTCAGTATATCTAAGATATTACCATGCTGGCATGTAATCAATGTGCACATCAGTCGAGATGCCACCCGTCCTTCTTGCCTGCTGTCTGAATGCAGAGCGTGGCCCCACCTGGGCCGGCCAGGCCAGTGCTGGCAGCCACGCATGTCAGGTTTCCCATGCTGGGCAGTGCGGGGCTAGGGTGTCCAGAGCTGAGCACCCAGGGAATGCTCTGTAAGGCTGGCAAGGCGCTGTGTGGACAGTGTGGCAGGGTGCCTGGGGCTATGGCAGTGGGCTATGAGAGTGAGAAAAAGGCGAGTTTCCTGGGTGCCAGGTCATGGTTGGGGGAGATGGAATCCTGCCCCGGGGTGGGGTGGGGCGTGTGTGGGCGCAGCACTGGGCCAGGATGCCCACTGCATAGCGAGGCAGAGACACTGATGCATGGGTAGGGGGTGGCAGAGAAGCCCAGGCACTGGGGGTAGGAGGAAGCACCGGGCTGAATGGGCCTCACCTGCCCTGCCAGTGCTCTGGGCCCTGATTGTACACTGGGGCCTCCCTGCTCATCTGTGTGCCCAGGGCCCGGCTTCTGGGGCCCCCCAGCTGCTGAGTGAACGCATTGCTCCCGCTGTGACAGGCAGCGCTGCAGGGTGACAGGACTGCTTTCTCCCTCCCTCATCCCTTCCTTCCCCAAGCAATGCTATTAAGCATGGACCATCTGCGGAACCCCCAGGCAGCACGCCAGGGGTGGCAGCACCACAGCTCCAGGCAGGTCCTTCCAGGCCCTCCTGGCTCGTGCTGGCTTGGGGCGCCCCTCGGCTGGTGGCTGCAGCACCCCCATCTCTGCCCTGTCTTCACTGGCCTCTCCCCCGTGCCTCTCCTTTCCTCATGAGGAATCGTTGGATTTAGGGACCCCCCAATCCAGGATGATGTCTCAGCCCAGCTAATAACATCTGCAAAGATGATCTTTCCAAATAAGGTCACAGTCTGGGGTTCTGGGGGATGCTACTCAGCCCAGCTCAGAGCCTGACAGGTCCCCCAGCCCCTGCACCCTATTACCTCACAGTCACCTCCCTGATGTATGTCTTGCCTGTTTGATCCCATCTGATGTTTGCTTCCCTAAGGGACCCAGGATGACACAGGAGCAGAGCTGTCAGGCCTGAGGGGCTGGGGCTGTGGGGATGGAGAGACTGGTGGGCAAGGGCACCCAGGAGCAGCTGGGTGCTGAGGCTGGCTGCCGGGTCAGGGGTGAGCAGGGGGTGGCAGCTGGGTCCATAGGCATGCCTTGAACAGCCAGTAGGGAACCTGTGGTCACTGACCTGGGAACTCAGTGGGGGCAGGTTTGCAGGAAGGGATGCAACTGGGTTGGGGTGCTAAACATGCCCAAGGAGATGTCCTGGGGACTGGGGGTCTTGCAGGAGACCGGGCTGGCCCCTGACCTCACAGTTCCCCAGTCTGGTGCCTGAGGTCCTGAAGATGTACAGTGCCTGGGGCCACCTGGGGCCGGTTCCACTCTCCATGGGACCTGGATTGATGGTGCTGACCAAAGGCCAGGTGTGGAGGTCTGGGTCAGAACCAGGAACGGCCAGTGCAGCGGGGACTTGGGCAGGAGAGGAGCAGAGAAATGTTAGGGCCAGTGGGGGTTGGCCAGAGGCGGAGACTGTGCAGAGCTTTTGGGGGTAGAGCTGCAAGGACCCCCAAAGGATCCCATGCCCCCTGTGATGGGCACAGTCAGGGCAAGTAAAATAAGGTGTGAAGGGGAGCAGATAGACCCCACCCTGCCACGGTGCCCCACCTGGCAGGGGAGAATCCCAGCCTGGGCCGGTGGACAGGGCGCTGTGGCCCAGCGGCCCCCCCGTCTTCAGGTTGAGGCTCCCCTGCAGGGGCGCGAAAGAGTTCCTGGAACAGAAACCTCAGCTCTGACCCCATTCGCAGGGCGAGGGCTGTCTTTCAGGTAGTGAAAACGTCTGGGGCCCAAAGTCTGCGTTGTTTTAAAACAAATCCACCCTTGGCCGGCTCTCCCCACCAGGCCTTCCCGGATCCTCTGATGGGATTCGCCGAAGGCTGACATTAGCGTGTCCCCTGCAGGAATCTCGCCCCCCAGCCCCCAGCCTCCACTGCCAGTGCAAGTGTTCCTAGATGGGCCGGGAAGTGGGAGCGGCTCCTTCCTCTGTGGAGACTGCCGGCCGTTCTTGGAAAGCCTCTGACGCTTGAGAAGATGTCCCGACCTGTCCAGGTGAATGGGGAACCGGGGGCCACCCGGGTCCCAGGGCCTGCTCTGGCCCCGGCTC